TCTTTTTTTTTTTTTTTTTTTTTTTTTCTCGAGACAGGGTTTCTCTGTGGCTTTGGAGGCTGTCCTGGAACTAGCTCTTGTAGAGTAGACCAAGCTAGTCTCGAACTCACAGAGATCCACCTGCCTTTGCCTCCCGAGTGCTGGGATTAAAGGCGTGTGCCACCAACACCCGGCTAGGTGTGCCCATCTTTAATTCCAGCACTTAAGGAGGTTGAATTTGAATTCAGGGTCAGTCATGGCTTCATTATAAGTTCAAGGCCAGCCTGAATTATAGCTGAATCCCTCGAAAATGAACAAACAAGCAACAAGAATGTCTAGGGATGTGGCTTAGGGGTAAAGTGCTTGAGGGCTTAGGTTCAATCTCCAGGAAGGAAAGAATGGAGGAGGAAGAGAGATGGAGGGAAGGGAGACTGCCTATGAACTATGTGTATGTCTTTCGGAACCACTGGGGTATTCGCAGCCTCAGTGTGCCTGCCTGTCATTCTGTGTGTGTGTGTCCACTCCTCTGGACAACAACAAAAGTGTGAAGCCCTGTGCTCCTGTGCAGAATGCCAGATGCAGTGAATACAAATATGAGCAGGGCACTCCCAGTTCGGGCCATGGATGTGGAATTTAGAGGCCCACATTGACACAGGGCAGTGTGGTTGTTCTGGGGTAGAAGCCACCAGACAGCTCCAGCAGGAGAATGGGAGAGAACTGCAGGTAATTGTTAAGTAGCCTAAGGTTGGTAGTCAGAGGGCAGAGATAAGCCACACAGCATGAATTTGAGGGGTAAGAAAGAGTAACCCCTCAGGCACACACAGCATGAATAAAGAAAGGTGGTTACAACAAGGGGCTTTCTGAGGCCTGGTGCTGAGTGCCACCCAGGGGGAAGCAAAGTAGGGTGTTGGGGAGAAAGACATTTTGAGGAGGGAGAGGCTGTGCAGAGAATCTGTGCATTTTCCTTATCTTGGAGGGTTTCATCCAGGGCACACCAGTCCCAGCCCTCCTGTGCCCTGCCCTTGCTGGCAGCACCCACCCCTGCAACATCTCCTCCAGGCTGGACACCCTCAAGGAATTCTGGGAAGCTTCCACTTGAAACATGTGTTCCATGTTCCTCCGTTTGTAGGTCAGGATGTTCTCTGTTTCCTAAAGATTCAGCCAGAGCTGGTGAATAGGGACACCCCAGAGAGGGGTCCCAACCCCTTCCCTGGTCCTGCCATCAGTGCCTCTCTGAGGGGGAACAACTCCTGGTACTTATCTTCTCTCAAACAGCACAGGCTTGAATGGGACAGAGAGGGACCAGATGATGAGGGAGTCAGAATCTCTGTTAACTGCCAAGTGCTTTTATAGTTGTGACACTAGATTTTCACCCAGCTCAGGTTATTTCACTGACTTCAGTCAATGCTGTCATTGCTAAGGACAAGTAGTGGGAGCAGGTAGGGGAGGTGAATGGATTTGAGATTCCATCTGCCATACCTCACGTGCCCAATGGCAGAAGACCAATAGGTTCAGGCTTTGGGGGCTCACTGCCACCCAGCACCACCCAGGAGGATGTCCCAAGGCTCTATACTTGTTTTATCAGTGGGACATTACAGAGACCAAAGGGCAAAGTTTACCACAGCCTGGGTATTTATTGGGTTCCACACTAACCCATGAGTGAATGGTTCATGCAATGGAAAATTACTGAGTGCTTCCAATGTGCAGGGACTGGAGACACAGGGATTAAGAAAAACCAAAAACATCAAAACAAACAAAAAGCTAATTCTAGTTAGGAGGTAGGGCAGGAGGATTGCCAGGAATTCATGGCCAGCCTTGATTACAGAATGCAGTCCTGGCTCAAAAAAGAAAGAATGAATTGTCCTCCAGGAAGGTGTGGACATTTTGTAAATGAGAAAATGGGAAGATGGAAATTGACACAGTGGAGTCCTCTGGAGTAAACTAACTTTCTTAGGGTAACACAGTAAGTAAATCCCAGTCTCAGATACAGGGACAGTACTGGCTGTCGTCACTGCTGCTGCTGGTATTTTTCTATCAGCCACACTCACTGTCAATATATAGGGTTGTGTTCCGTGTGCACAGCACAGAGGAATTGGTTAGGTGTTAGGGCAGGGAGCTTCCTGTGGCCTAGAACTTCCTCCACCCATGGCTGCCCCCTTCATCTACCTTCTGCTGTTTCACAGTCTATGCTGGATACACCAGCATTCTGCAGAATCCAGGCCACAGAATGCACCTCCCAAGAGTTCCCATACCGTGTCCCTGACAATCTTAGGGTCACAAGCTTCACCATGCTGCCCTCTCTGGGGGACATCCCTGGCTAATTGTCCCTCTCTGCCACACTCTCCTGGTCCTTAATGTCCACAGGAGACAGAGATGAAGGTAACCCCTCAAAGTCTAGGGTCCCCATGACAGCCTCTAAGAAGCCTCTTCCTACATTAGAGTCCAGGAAAAATGGTGTTGAGTCCAGCAAGATTAGTTGGTCCACCATCTCAGGGAAGATGCAGGCGAACTAGAAAGTGACAACAGAGGAGTAAGTGAGTGGGTGAAGGCACAGATGTCACCAGAGCTAGAGTCTGCTGTCCCTTCAGTGTGCTTCTCCCAGACCCAGCTGCAGACAGCAGTAGCCCTAAACGAGACAAGAAAAAACGCTCCAGGGAACCGTTGCCAGGACACAGTGTACATGAGAAGTTGCCTCTGGCTAAGGAGGTACTGTCTACCTACTGCATCCACTGTGTAAAGGGTTCTTCCTTTCCTACCTCCCACTGGTCTCTCCACCAACACCCCCAGAAAGGTCCCAGGTGACCCCAGAACAGCCAGCTACTCACCATGCCACCCACAGTGCCACCTGCCAGACAAGAAAGCAGAGCTGACATCTATGTGACCCCTCTCCAGCTCCCCATGCTCCCCCAGCCCTTTCTTATGGGGCTGCCCCATCCCCAGCCCTGCTCCCACCATGGGGTTGGGACTCTTCATCTGCAATGAGGAGCTTCTCCCTGGGCCACCAAGGTCTCTCCATTGAAAACACTAACAAGGACACTCCGCACCCCCTCTGAGACCAGAGGCACAGTCCCTAAAGTAAGCATATGAGGACTCCCTTCCTCCTCAGAGGGGCAGGAAAAGGCACCAGATACCACTGTGTCAAATTTTCTCCCCCTCATATAGCCCTCCAGAAATCTCAGGGCCATTGTAAAGCTGACTCACCAAAACTGTGGCCCAGGAGGGAGAAGCGAGTCCATTTAAATGCTGAAAACAGAAATTTAAAAAGAAGGTTGGCATGGTCCAGCCTTACTCTAAACTTTTTCCTGTGTCCTGGCTTGGGACTCCCCCCACCCGGGAGACCAGCTGAGGGGGCTCAGCTCCACTGTGAGAAGCTCCTAGTGGAGGAAGCAAGCTCTTCTCAGTTGCTGGGAAATCTGAGGCTGGCCCCCGGGCATCCATTCCCAACCACTACTGTCTCCCAGACACTGCATCTGACCACCTAGGAAGAGAGGGGATGTGGCAGGGGATTCCCCCAACACACACATAACCCCTTCATGGCACTCGCTCTGGCTCTTGCTCACCTGCTGCCACCCTTCGGACCTCACTCACAAAATTGTGGTGGTAATACGGGAGACCTGGGCTGTAATGGGAGGAGAGCCCATGGCCCCCGAAATCCATGGCCACATAATGAAAATCTGCAGCAGAGAGAAGAGGAAGAGGAGGGGGTCTATGTGTCAGCTTCCACCCCTCCCCTGTCCCTCAGCCCATAGCCCCACCTTGTGGAAGAAGAGGAATGAGTCTGTCAAAGGAGTTGGCATTTTCAAGCCAGGCATGCAGGCAGAGAACTGGAGGGTTCTTCTGGGAGCCCCAGACTTTGACAGCAATGTGACCCCAAGGCACAGCCAGCCTCAACTCTGAGAACAGACCTGTAAGGCAGAACCAGTCATTTGTCCCCTGCATCCATGAACCCAGCACTTCCTCAGCCCCTCATCTATGTATGTTCCAGCATGCATGGGCATTGGTGCTACTGTCCTGGCTCTGGACAGACAGACTGCCTAATACCCTGAGGAGGGAAAGCCAATCAGGTCCCCTGGGTGAGAGACAGCTGGATAGGCCTTTTGGATGTAACTATTGGTGTTGGAACAAACACCAATAGTTGGAAGCACTTCGGTTGGTGGCTGCTGCTTGAACCCTGCCACTTGGGGCTGTGTGACCTTGGACTGGTTGCTTCAAACCTCTTTATCCTCAGTCCTTTTCTGTTAAACTGGAGTAAACAGATTACAGTGCCTCTTAACTATGGGACCCTTTCTAAGAATCCCCATGGGTGCCTGAAACTTCAAGCATTAATGAACCCCATACAATGAATGTGATCTATGCTTTTTCTTGTGTGTGTGTGTGTGTGTGTGTGTGTGTGTGTGTGTGTGTTATAAGAGTTGTGGTGCCACATGCCTGTGATCCCAGTACATACGAGTTAGAAATAGGCAGGCTCACGGATTCGAGGACAGCCTTGACTATACATGAGACTTTGTCTCATAAAACATAATCACCAAAACAAACAATGTAATTAAAATTTGTGCAGTGGTTTCTGTCTCTAGAAATATTGCATGAGAACCATGCAATTTGTAATCCTAGTCCTGAGGAGGCAGAGGCAGGTGATTTGCAGTCAGTTCAGGACAGGCTGATATAGGGAATTCCAGGCCAGCTGAAGCTACATTCGGTGAAATAATGAGAGACCCTGGAGGTCAGTCTTTAAGACAGCTGGGGTTTTATAACACCAGAGTATCATGCAACTCAAAACTGGACTTTACAGTTTACAAAAACATTTTGGACATTTGGGAACTGAACCCTTGGAAAAAGAAGCTGGGGAGATTACCGTGTCCAGCATTTTCTAAGTCTTCAGAGCCGGGCCGGAAAAGTCACAGTAGTTGGACTACTGCCGTTCTCAGTACACAGATCACAAAACATAGGCACAGCGAGGTACAGATGACCAAACTCATTCAGAAAGATAGAAGCAGACACCATGATTCCGGGACTCCAGCTGGGCCTACTCAGGTCAGGTGTGTCCCAGAGCTGACCTTCTCATGCTGCTGGCTCCAAAGCGCAATCCCAAACAGCAATAAGCACACTCCTCTAACCAAAAAGCTATCTGAACTCAGCGACCATGTGGCTCATTTGGATCCCACAGTCTGGCTCTGCCGAATCTGGGAGCTGAAGATTGGGCCTGCACAGGCAGTGGGGAGGGCGGTGAGTGTCAGCTCCACTGGCTAGAGTGAGTGGGTGCATGGGGGATCTCTCTGGGCCTCCCCCTTCCCAGACCGATCTAAAAGGCCCTGAGGGGCATTTTCACCCATTGTTCTGTTCGTGCCGCTGTTACTCCTCGTCACAGGAACCGTAAGGACTCAGAAGCTCGAACTCCGCCAACGACTTTCCTCCAGTCCCGCCCACGCAGGCCTCCTCCCAGTCCTATCCCAGTTCCGCCCCCACAAGCACCATCTCTAGGCCCCGCCCATCATCTAGGCCCCGCCCTACCTTGGCTTAGAGAGCCACAGGGATTACGTTGTTATCCAGCTCCCGGCTCCCACTGAGCAGCTAAAGCGGGTGATGTGGCAAGGCTGTGCTGGAGAGAGCAGAGAAGGCTCTGAAGGATATGTAGGCGGCAGGACCGATTCCTGGGCGGGCCCGCATGGCACCAGGAGTGAGACGTGGCCCTGGTGGCCCCTTGTCAAGCAAACAGTCATGAAGATCCCCCTCTGCCTCCCGGAAGTGGGGCAACTGTGTTTCCACAGTGTTTCTCATGTCATCCATGTCACCACTGTGTCTGTGGCCCCTCAACAGAGTCTGGCACTGGCACTATCAATCTTTGATATTGAATGAATTAATGAATGTATTGTACGTCAGGGTTCTGTGGAATCTCATCAATATGCTATATTGAATGAATTAATGAATGTATTGTACGTCAGGGTTCTGTGGAATCTGCCCCCAGGCAAGGAAAGATTCAACCCTGACAAACCCGCCCTAAAACAAAACCCTAGGAACCCAAACCACAAAACACTCCCCAAATGAATACATGCCAACCTTGAATTTTACAGTAAAAGAAGAAATCAGCACCTCTTGCACTTTTGAAATTTTCCAGGCTAACCTCTGGGAACAGGAGTTGATCTCAGGAGCAGAGTGGCTCACTGTCCTAACCAGTAAGCCACAGACCCAGTCACTGAGGAAATCAGTGTGGCGAGTTCCCTAAAGGGGTGACAGGACAGACCCTGTGAAAAGAGGACCACAGGCTGCAGGAGGTTAAGCGAAGGCTGGGCAGGGCCACTGTGTAGAGAAAGTTGAGACTGGGAAGTAATGGGGCCACAGGACTTGAGCTTGGACTTTTCTGAGTGATTTGACTCTGGGGAGGTTAGGAGATGGGACAATGCAAACTTTTTTTATGTGTTTTTTGAGACAGGGTTGGGTCTTGCTATGTAGCCAAGAATGAATGAGAACTGAGCCTTCTGCCTCTCCCTCCACAATACTGGGGTCACAGGCTTGCTTGGATTAGGTAAAGCAGAGGATAAAACCCAGAGTTAGTGTGTGCCAGGCACACACACAAGCCTTGGCTGCCCCAGCCCCATGAGAGCTTTTCTATACGGTGCAAGCAGTGCTACCTATGTTGAGGAAATGGTTTCATTCCCCATGGAAATGGACCTTTACTGAATTATATAGGAGCACAGATACTCATGGTGACTGCCAGGCTGGCTGCTGTCTTTGCCAAAGACACTTGTACTTGGGCAGCAGTCTCCAGCCTGCCTGACTTCTGGGTTGGCATCTCAGAAGATGTACCTTTGACCTCAAAACTCCCTTGGTTCAACCAGATCCTTCAACAGACATGACCTCAGCTGGCTCCTGTCTGTCCTGCTGGCCCCATGACCTCAGCCATCCTCCCTCCATCCAGCCTCATCCTCATCCTCACATTCCAGTATTATCCAGCCTTTTTCTTGCCTGCCTCTCCCCATTCCTCTCCTGTGATCCCCTTGGATTCAGTACTTATGGCTGTATAAGGCAATCCACTTCCTGCCATGCCCTTCTGTGGTGACATTTTGTTTGTGCTGTAAGAAATAAAGCTTGCCTGAAGATTAGAGTGCAGAGCAGCCAGCTGCTAGTTCTTACCTCTACTGAATCCTCAGACCAAAGGGTTGTTTTTGTTTCTAGGGCTCCTCAGACTAAATGCTGTCTCTATGAAACCTCAGACTGAATGCTCTGAGCATCTCTCTTCTCCTACCTTGTATTCCTTTCTCCATCCAGCCATATCATATCACTCCTGTCAAAAAAAAAAAAACACCACACTCTCCATTCCACCCCACTACTACTGAAAGCTCCCACAAGTCCCTCTGCCCTAGCTCTGATTTTACCTCTGTATGAATATCCCGGTGCCTCTCATGCCAGCTCAGGAGAGGTGAATCTGTTTTTCTGGGACAGGGTTTCTCTGTGTAGAACAGGCTGGCCTTGAATTCACAGAGATCCCTCTGTGTCTCCCGAGTGCTGGAATTAAAGGCATGCCTCACCACCACAGATCGGCTTCTGAAACTTAGGATATGACTATTTTAAAACTATTTCCCCCTAACATTTACCAGAGGGCCTTGCACACAGGAGGGATTCAGTCAATGACTGACAGTTGGATTGGCTGAGAAAGGCTAAGGTCAGGCTGCCCCAGGCTCTCTCTAGGGGCTCACAAGCACCTGCAGCAGTGTAGAGAGGGTGGGGCGAATGTGAGTGTTTTCTAAGGTCTTATGTTCTTACCTGGTGCTTAAGCTCCCTGGGATTGGAACAGCAGGCACATCTGGAGAAGTGGAAGGGATTTCATAAATGCTCACATCCCCAGCTGAGAGAGACAAGAGTTCCCCAGGAGTTCTCTTCTTCATCAGCATGAGGAAGCCCCAGCTAAGTCTGTGAAGTGGAAACGTGGGCAGGTATTCATAGGGAACAAGGGAGCTGGTGTCTTGCTTTGAAGAAATTAAACCTAAAGGAATACTTCACTGTTTGGGTGAGCTATGGCATCAGAAAAGCAGTTATTCGCTGATAGGGATAGAATAGAATAGTACTTAGCCCTACTCTCCTACTAAATAGCCCTGAATATTTTGTAGAGGAAAATGGAGCTCAAGGCTTTTAACTTAATGTAGATGAATCAGGTTTGAAAAGAAAGAAAGAAAGAAAGAAAGAAAGAAAGAAAGAAAGA